CAATTTTTAAAAGGATAAAATAGTAACTTTACAATTTTAATATAAAATATAATTAAAAAATTAAATAAAAAAAATGAAAGGCTCTCTCTTTGCATTTAGACCTTAGTAATCCCGGAATAAATGCATTACTATTTACAAATCCAGGAAATTAAAAATCTATTGAACAAAACTTGATAGAATGTTAACGAAAAAAGGTTCCTTGAGGGGAGAATTTTTTACTTTTCCTAAAGATTTAGAAAATTGGCATTTTTCTTCCACATATTACTTTTGGTATTTATCAAATGGTGAGACGAGTGATAGAAATAGTTGGTCTACTCGATTTCATTGGATAAATTATTTTTCTTTTGTTTCAAGTTGTTTAAGCAAGAATGAAAAGCTAATGAAAAAATAAATGATTGAAAAAACCTTAGTTTTAGACTTAAAAAGCCATGAACTAGTAATGAATACATACATAACATGAGAATATGGAGTGAATTGGAAAGAAGATTACAACACAATTTAGTAATTAATAAACTTGTGCAAGATCTTATCAACGAAAATATCAACGAACAATGTAGAGAAGTTTTTGTGAGGATATTTCTAATGTTAGTTGATAAAGTTCTGCACTCAGATCAATAATATCACGAGAAAGGTTAAATAGAGACAATAGTGTTATTTAAAGAAGAAGTTTTATGACATATAAATTGTAATAGTATAATTTTTTATTTCCTATCAAAATTATATTTAATTTAGATATTTGAAAATTTTAGATTATCGTTTTTGTAACTCTGAATATTTTTATCTACTGGAAAAAATTATTTTTTGTTAAATATTTTTAATATTTATCGGGATTCCATATTTGAAGTTGGCATAAATTCCTAACATTTAGGAGATAACCTATCCAAGTAAAACATCGTCAAAAAGTAATAAAATGCCCTTCTGATTCATCTTATAAGTACCCACAAACAGTTAACAAATGTTAAAATATTTAAAACTTATAGAGTAGGTAAAAAACAGATAGATACTGTTAAACCATGAGTGATGATCTCCTAAATGTTAGGAATTTACTTAATCATGTATAGTGAAAAATTAAACAAATTTCAATTTCTATCAGGGATCTACTTTGTGTTTGGATAGAAATTGTGATAGAAAATTATACTTTTGATGAATTTCTTGAAGAACAATTCTAATCTTCAATTCACAGCTATCAATTGTCCGACTCCAATGAAAATCTTGTGTTAGCAAGAATATAATCGTGTTGTGTTGTAATTTTTCAATCTCTAGCAGCCTATTAATAAAAGTTTAAGTGGACTTAACCCTTCTTTTAAACTTAACCTGATCCAATATTTAATTAATTCAATTAATTAAATTTGGTTCATAAATGAATTAATCTAATTAATTGATTCGACAATATTAACAAGCAATCAAATTAATTAATTGTTCAACATTTGTTAATTAATTAATTGATGAATTTTATTCTTCTAATTCTCTTTTCGTGTGTGATCAATTATGTTCTCAATCACGATGTCAATGACGCGAATTATTATTTTGGCTTAATAGAGATCAATAAATTAAAATTTTCTTTTTTAATTTATCATCAATTCATATCTGTCAGCCCATATTGACATCTAACAATGTGTTAAGGCAATACATGTAACAAAAATATCACGTGGTATGACAAAACAAACTTGTTCGTTTACCTTGAAACTATAATCATTTTGTCAATATAATCCGATCAATTACGATATGTGGATATGTGTTAATCTCAATTATCGATAATATTTTTCATCCCAATATTAAGTCAATGTAAGTCGAAACCTATTTTTGGACTTATAAGTACACATTGGCCAAAAATTTCGTTATCAACTTAATTGAATGAAATGTAGATCACAATCTCTTATTATCTAAGCATGACGAATCTTTTTTTTTAATCATTCACAACTTTCATGTAATTTTTGACATATTCGAACGATGTTGCATTAACGACCCTTGACAAAGCATTATCCAACATTACCAAAGTATGATTATCTTCATATAAGGCACTACAATGATCTCAAGTCGAAGGAACAATTATACTACCGAACGTTAGAGATTAATCTCCGACATTCAGATAATTATTCATGTGGAATCTCTCCAACGATCTCTAATGTTTTGTTCTATAATAAAACGTTCACATGTTCATTTAAGTATCACCACACTTTAATTTGTGAGATCAACTACCTACTTCACAAGTAAGAAATGCCACACGTGATAGTCTTTCTGTAATAACGATATCCGTATCTCGTTATTACTTACAACCACTGATGAATTAAGATTCAATCAAATATAATATGTATCTCACAATTACAAATCCTTATGATTAACAAATTACTAAAACTTAAATCTATGGACTCTAC